CAGACGAATAATAAGCCAAAAATGGATAAAAAATGGATTCATTTTATATATAAATATATATATATATATATATATATATATATATATATATATATATATATATATATATATATATATGTAGTATATGTATATATATTATATATATGTATATATATATATATATATATATATATATATATATATATATATATATATATGCGTGTATGTATATATATATATTTTTTTTTCAACAGCCATTCATTCCACTGCAGGACATAGGCTCTCTCTAATTCAGTAGTGAGAGGTTATATGGCGGTGTCACTCTTGCCTGATTGGATGCCCTTCCTAATCAACCGCGGTTCGGCGCGTTAACACTTGTGCCACGGCGGTGACTTCCCTAACGACACCTGCGTTTGACTTTTCAAGGCGATATGTCGTTTTCTCGAGCTCGAGCAAGCAGTCAGGGCGCAGGCATTTTTATGACTGCCGCGACGGGGAATTGAACTCTGGACCACGAGGGTCGGAGTCCAGTGCTCTAACTACTGAGCTATCGCGGCAGTCGTATGTATATATATATATGCATATATATACATATATACATATATATATATATATATATATATATATATATATATGTATGTATATATATAAGCGTGTATATATATATATATATATATATATATATATATATATATATATATATATATATATATATAGTTAAAGTTCATGAAACAAGTTATTTCAGATTTCGATCATAGCATAAGAAGCTTCATATTTACGATTTGGCATCTACACGGTACAGACAACAGAAAATAAAAATTATCCAAATATAAACTATTCCCTTATTAAATGTAAAATTACTTACAATGAGTTTGTTTTTGAGTCCGGGCTCCTGGCGGAAGTATATGAGGCCTCCCGCGGGGATTTCCAAGTCGATGTGGCCGGCCATTTTCTGCTTGTCGTAGTCGGCGCAGTTGATCCAGATTCGCACCTGCGTCTGCTTCACGCTCACCAGGATCCGGGTCCACGTCCAGCCCACCTGTGACGACACCGCAGGCTTTAGTCTTCGCTTAAGATCTCTATCGCCTCGATGTATAGGAGAAGTTTGCCCACGCACACACAACACACTCATGCACACGCACGCACGCACAGAGAAAGTTGAAGCCCTATATTACGTACAAAATCCACCAAAGCTCCTCTCATTCTAAAGTTGTTTTTGATAGACGCGAAACCTAATCATTAAGCGTCTTCTGTACGCTCCAATAAAGTTAATATCGTATTAATGTTGAATCCAAAACCACAGTACTTACATCAATGATGCAAAACATATCTACCAGATCCACGAATCATTGTGATTAACTGTATATTTGCTTTGTTACATAAAAGAGATGACATTTGTGTAATAATAATACACAGTCACTCACTATAAGTTCCATATTAATCAGTAATGTTGATAACGAGATATTCATTACAGAAAAAAAATATATATACACATATGCTGCCATTACCGCATACCATGCGAATACCTAGACTTCGGATTCAGATGTCTGTAAATTATTTATCAACCATTATAATGTCTGCACATCAGTTAAATGTTGCATTACAATTTTGTATAAATTCTTACATCGTGATATACAGGTAACCATTGATTACTACCTCCAATCAATGCCGAAATCATGGCTCTAGCGTCGCATTTGTATAGTTTGCGGTAATTGTAATAATTTTATAAGCCATTTAACTGAAGGTGACACAAAACCATAAAGCATTGATAACATAATTCCGGTTTTCTTTGACAGCTCCTCCTCGTGCGTGATGGAGGGGCGCGAATTGGATTGTTTTTCATATAACAAAATTTCTACGCAGTTTTGCAGTTCACAATAGTTTTAAAAATCTGCGTGTTTAAAAGTTAAAAGTGAAGTTAGTGAAAGCTTTCTTGACATCCCATTAAACTATTGCATAAGATAAGCTAGTTTCCACAACCTGGAAGTAATGTTACTATTTCTGTGTCCGAAAACCCTGGAATTCCCTGTGAGATTTTTTTTTTTTTTTCTTATCATTGCTGCGGGCTATATTTGCAGTCTGATGATGCTGTTGATATTTGATTGGTGGGATTAACTAGCTCGTTCAGTGTATGTGCAGGATTAAAATTTGAGCTCAGAAGTTAATTCTGGTCCAGAGGTGTTTTAAAAGTTGCTCCTGGACGCTGCCATTGTGTATGCGCAGCAGAGATCTGAGTTAAACTTAACAGGATTAACTTTTATGGCGCATACAGAGGACGCTAATTTTAACTATATTGGCAGGCAGACGATATAGGTATTACTGCCGACAGAGTGACTATAGCTTCTATTTTGTTTCGTTATTATGCCTTTACCTTGCTATTCCTTTGGTATGAACAGTTTGCCCACAAAAGCGCTATTTTATCGCTTTTATTAGTTTTATTACAACATTTATCTAATCATGGCTTTGGTAATCTGTTTAAGTGCTTTGATTTGAGAAAACTCTCCTGCCAGTAATAAGACAAGACAACGAACTCCTTCTGCGACATTTACTGAAGATACTTATCGTCCATCTACTGAATATTTGGGTGTAAGTTCCTGCACAAATCATTCATGTTTTAAACATTATATAAAAACTACATGTTAATATTTATATTACTAATTAAGCAAACCCCTTCTGTCGCTCACCAAAACAATGCAAGAACAGTCCAAAATTCTCAACCTACCAAGGAATTTACGACCATATCCGTTTCCATGACGAAAGTAACTATCTTTTTTGTTTGTCTGTTTTGCTCAAAATCATTTTGACTATAACAGTTTAAAACTTGGCGATCAGTAGAGTATATCTTTGTTTCAATACATTGAAATCGATACATAATTCAGTAATCTTTCATTTTGTTTAGTGCTATTCTCTTCCTTTATAATATGGCTTTATAATTTGCCATGTTATAAAGCCTCACCTTCTCTGGAAGCTCGAACGACGCCTGGTGAGTTTTGGCGTCCTCCTTGATGTGGTAAAAGAAATTGAGGCGCTGAGTCTTCAAGTTGGAGATCACCTGAAACAAAGGCAGGCGACAGTCAAGAGCAGTGGTAGACGAGGATGTGTATATATATGTATAGGTGTATGTGTGTGTGTGATTGTGTGTATATATACAAATATTTATGTATGTATGAAACTGCCTTCCCACCACCCCTTCCCATACTCTCCAAGCCCACCACAGTTATTTGTTACATAGCAAGCTCAAGTTTGCTATGTCTATTTAACGTAAGCATTGTATTAACATCAATAAATTAATACATTGGGAAAAATAGTTTCGTAAAGGTTAGGTTAAGAGCTGTCTAAGTCTGCGTTAAATGCGATGAAAGTGTTTCAGAAGAAAAGTGACTGAGAATTGTTTATGACTGAAACGTTTGCGTGATCCATACAACACGTTTGGAGAAATGAACCTGCTTTATTCTGGGAGGGTGTCTCATGCGGCGAATGTAGGCCTGCACATAAAAAAATGACAATCGACTTGTACGCTGTCATATATATATATATATATATATATATATATATATATATATATATATATATATATGTATATATATATATATATATATATATGTATATATATATATATATATATATATATATATATATATATATATATGTATATATATAGATATATAGATAGATATAGATAGATAGATGGATATATATATCTGTCTGTATATGCGTGTGCGTATAAATATATTTTTGTCTGTATATATGTGTGTGTGTGTGTGTGTGTGTGTGTGTGTGTGTGTGTGTGTGTGTGTGTGTGTGTGTGTGTGTGTGTGTGTGTGTAAACTGTATACGCACAGACACACATACACTTTCGTCCCAACGGCGATATCGCCAACAGCCGTTTGGGCGAACGCACTCATCGGCAACAGACTTCTTGCCACGTGTATCTTAAACAGCATTACACTTCAAAAGTAAGAGATATATCAGACCTGAGAAAAGCATTCTGTTACTTCAGTTTTCCCCCAAAAGAAATGCAACAAAATAATGTAAAATACAGAATGAATTTATAATAAATATGGACCGAGTATATATATATATATATATATATATATATATATATATATATATATATATATATATATATATATATACATATGAATGTGAACATATATGTGTGTATGTGTGTGTGTACATATGTACATAAATATATGTATGTATTATATGTATATATGTGTATATATATACATACATACTCATACATATGCCATCTATCTATCTACACACACACACACACACATATATACATATACATATATATGTGTGTGTGTGTGTGTGTGTTTCACTACCATAAAGTAAACTGCCAGTATCAAGTCCTTGAAGAAGTATAACTTGCTCCTTTAGAACAGCTAAAGACAATCCCACTACTGACTTCCTGGTCTGGCAGCCAAAAGTCTTGAACCAAACTATAAGTGATGTAAACCTCTCTGTCTTCAATATCTTCGATGTACGCACTTACCGACTGAGCGGTTTCTTTTCGCAGGCCCCTGGGTCTTGGTCTCAGTCGAGAAGAGCTTCAGGCAGATGGGCTTAGCCTCACTTCACCAGGGCCACCACCAGGGCCCGAGACTCAGATCGAATAGCAAAATCGTCGGTAACCTTAGTATTGCCAATTTTCCTGAGAGATCTATAATTTTTGAGTTATTGTCTAGTGGGAATATGTTGAAAATTTGCTCATTATTTAGCAATTTTCTTAGCGGGAAAAGTAGGACGTGGCAGTCCAGTCTAGTGGTTTTGTGGAAATATCAAATGGGAATACTGTGCGCAGTATCCAGTCCATGCAAGTGTTGAAAAATGTTGGTACAAAAACAGCCTCGCCTCACTCCTGAATAAACTGGGAAGCAGCACGATTGGCTTCCCTACACACTTCACAGCACTTTTAATACGAGTATATACGCTTACTGTTAATCTAATGATCCTTATTTGGATTTCACTTAGCCTCAGGATCTCCCAGACTGATTCACGATGCACTGTATTAAACGTCTTCTTCAAGTCGCTGTAGGCTGCAAGCAGCCCACGACCAAGTCCATGACGGCACCCTACAATGCCTCGAAGCGCCAGGATGCGGTCACATGTTGACTTACCAGGAGTGAATCCAGATTACAATGGCCTCTCGTGCCTCAATAGGTGATCTCTGCTACTTCTCAGAAGGATGTGAGCGAGAAGCTTACCTGTACACTAATCAGTGTAATACCTCAGTGATTGCTGCAGTCCCATCCTTCCCCCTTTTCCCTTCCAGCATGACATCGGACTGCCAGACAGGCCAGCATGCAAATTCCATGCTATAGGTTCACCATCTGGGCAAAAGGGATACTTGCTGATGGGGGGGGGGGGTCTGGCATAGGGATCTCGACGCCACTCACTTCCAGGATAACTGTTAGTAGATCAATCTAGTACAACTGTTCAAACGTTCCCATAATCCAACACGATCTGAGATCTGGCTATTTACGAAGTAGATTGTCTTCTATGAGGGGGCTTGGAGTTCAGCTTTCTCTGATCTTGGTAGGCAAGACGAAGGTCACTTACTAGGAAATGACCTCCTCCACAAGATTTCTGGTAAACTGTTCCTCGTCTCTTCTCAACAGTAACTGAATCCTATGTACAGGACAATAATGCAAGTCACGAGCCACATGCACACTCCCCTCCCTCAACCTTTCCACGTGAAACACTCTCGGATAATCATTGGAGAAACAGGATTTCGAAGTGAACTTGGAGGGTAGTCACAACCAGCCTATAGCCAGTATCACAGATCTCGGGGGATCTGACAGCAAATGCTAACAAGGATGTGGTTAATCTCCTTGGCCACACTATCTGCACCAATGCCCCATGTCCAACAATGCGGGCCATTCCTGTATGTCCATGGGGAAGGGGTCAGATGAAATCTTTAATGAGCGCCCCTCGTATGTGTATGTATGTACACACACACACACACACACACACACACACACACACACACACACACACACACACACACACACACTCACACACTCACACACTCACACACTCACACACACACACACACACACACACACACACACACACACACACACACACACGCACGCGCGAATTCAGTTCAAGTTGTGATAGATATATGCCTATACCAACTACTGCCCAATACATCATATGTTCTGGTTCTCTATCATTTTTTTTTTTACTTTTCAGCTATGACAGACGCAAGGCCTTTACGACCGAACATCCTGGAGCCGTTCCGTGCCAGGCAAGGAATATACCTCAAACCCAGTAAAAGTGTTCGGTCGAATATTGGCAATGGTTGGTAAACGGCTAAATAAAGATCATGCTAACAGGTAATGGGAAGTATTGCGAAGGAAACCGGGGCTACATACATGTCTGTCCTGGGGATTAGATAAGGTGGTGATTAACGATAGGTTGTTCTTAATTTAAGTATGACTACCGCAGTATATGTCGTTTTCTTAAAAAAAAAAAAAAAAGGTAAAAATATCCTGCCAATTAATTGATTCATAGATGCCTCGACCCCCCCCCCCCCTCAAAAAAAAACAAAAAAACATATATATATATTTTTTAATTCATTTGACAACGGGTATTGTGCGCAAGAAGGGATTTGGAATGTGTTAAATATAAATCAAATGATTCCAAATATAGTTTTAGCAGTTTTAGTTCCTCCACACACGCACATGCACACATCGATGAGACATTATGTATTCACAGTAACCCTTATCCGGTTTTGCGTTTTATTAATATTTTGAAATAATTATAACATACCATATTTTCTGTTCACTGAATCAGTGCTTGAATCTGACGAAAATAAATTATTAGGTAAACATCACGATAATATGATAATATTATTATATACTTTTCAGCACATGGCTTGGGATGTCGACTCTGTCTTTTTATATTCATCCTTCTTGGAATGATCCAGTGAAACAAGCAAACAAGCAAACATGTGCTTTCCCGCTCAGCTTGAATGCGGATGCGCTTCCTCATACAAACACAAAGACTTATGGGAAAATGATAGCAAAAACTGCGATCAGGTTTTAGCACATCATATTCAGAATAACCGAAACGAATTAAGCATATTATTTCGTAACTCATCATAAAGTTTTAACACACACACACACACACACACACACACACACACACACACACACACACACACACACACACACACACACACACACACACACACACACACACACACACACACACACACACACACATACACAAACACACACACACACACATACACAAACACGCACACACACACAATGATAAAGCATCTATATATTCACTGTAACCCTATGCGGATTATATCGTAAGATGTCTTCCTTTTGCTATCATTAAAAAAAAAGAAAAATACAAAACTCGATCACTTCCTTAGTTCGATTAGCCAATACTCGATGGTGCAGCCGTGAGAGCCATTTACAATGTCCCAGCGATTCTGTAGAGGAGCCTCCGGAATAGTACAGCGGTAACGTGTCGGCCTCTCATCCGCTTACCCAG